AGGTGTGAGGAAAGAGGGGAAGGGGACTGCTCCTATTTGAGCCATGGCTTTGTGCGTTCTTCAGGTTGCTCCTCGTTGAGAAACTGGATCTGCAGCACACCTGACAGATACTTATAGGGAAAGGAAAAATGCAAGTGTGATATAGTCCATGAGTGTGTGCTTATATGATTGTCTTAACTGGGCTATGCTTTATGCAAGGTGTGTCCAAACACATGATTCTAAATATTGCCATTTACTCAATATGACTACTCTGTTTGTATGGAGGCATCATTTTTGCAGCGAAACTTCGGAATATGGCCCTGTGGAGTTTTATTTTGTGTTCCATTCTTGTTGCTTTCACTGCTTTTACCTCAGGGACTACAATAGGCATCCGGACAGCTTAATGTCCCATCAGTGAGAATATTTAATTGTGAACAGGCCTTCTTGTGGGCATGCTATGCAGGAAAAACAGCACAGCAGCCCAACGCTGGGGCATATGAAAATGCAAAAAGGGAGCTATGCAAAAATGAGGAGGTTAGTTAAACAGAAATTACAAGGTACTGGGCAAAAAGCAAAATCTCTGCAAGCTGCATGGAAACTTTCTAAAGACACCATAATAGGAGCTCAAATTTGGGGAGTACCTGCATGTTTAAAACTTAGAAAGAGGACCAAAAAAGTGCCACCGTGGCTTAACAGCCAAGTCAAAGAAGCAGTGAGGGATAAAAAGGCACTGTTTAAAAAAGTGGAAGCTAAATCCTAGTGAGGAAAATAGAAAAAAGCATAAACTCTTTCAAATGAAATGTACAAATATATTTTTGAAGACCAAGAAGAGTTTTGAAGAACAGCTAGTCAGAGATTCAAAAAGTAATAACAAAATGGTTTTTATTTTGTTTATCAGAAGCAGAAAACCTGCTAAACTGGGACCAATCCTATTCAACATATTCATAAATGATCTGGAGAAAGGGGTAATCAGCGAGGCGGAAAAATTTGCAGATGATACCAAACTGCTTAAGATAAGTATTTCTGGAGGAGACTGAAGAGCTTCTAAAGGAGCTCCCAGAACTAGGTGACTGGGCAACAAAATGGCAGATGAAATTCAATGCTAATAAATGGAAAGTAATGCCCATTTGAAAACACAATCCCAGCTATACATATATAACCATGGGGACTAAATTAGTTATCACTCAAGTAAGATCTTGAAGTCATTGTGGATAGTTGTCTGAAAACATCCACTCAGTGTTCAGCGACAGTCAAAAAAGCAAACGCAATGTTAGGAATCATTAAGAAAGGGACAGAGAATATCTTATTGCCTTTATATAAAAGCATGATATATCCACAACTTGAATACTGCATACAGATGTGCTCACCCCATCTCAAAGAAGATACCTGGCATTGGAAAAGGTTAAGAAAAGGGCAACAAAAATTATTAGGGGTATGGAACAGCTGCCATCGAAGGAGAGAATAATAAGACTGGGACTTTTCATCTTAGAAAAGAGGAGACTAAGGGGCAGATGTGATATAGGTTATAAAATTGTGATTGGTGTGGAGAAAATGAATAAGGAGAAGTTATTTACTTGTTCCCATAACACAAGAACTAGGAGTCACAATGAAATTAGTAGGCAGCAATTTTAAAACAAAGAAAAGGAAGTATTTCTTCACATAATGCACAGTCAACCTGTGGAACTCCCTGCCAGAGGATGTTGTGAAGGCCAAGATGTTAACAGGATTCTCCACTCTTCCCCTCCCCCCAAAAAAAAACCTAGATACATTCAGGAAATTAGATCTACCAATGGCTATTAGCCAGGATGGGTAGGAATGGTGTCCCTAATCTCTATTTGTGTTCCAAAAGCTGGGAATGAGTGATGGGAGAAATCACTTGATTCCCTGTTCTGTTCATTCCCTCTGGGGCACCTGGCATTGGCCTCTGTTGGCAGACGGGACACAGGACTAGATATAACTTTGGCTTGACCCTGTATGACTGTTCTTTTGGCCATGTCTAAACTGCCACTTTGCTGCGCTACAACTATCTCACTCAAGGATATGAAAACACCCGCACCCAAATGCAGCAATTTTACAGCACTGTAAAGCGCTGGGCACTAAGCCCCTTGTTCAGTGGCCAGACTTTCCCTTTAAAGCACTGAAATAATCTCTAGGGTGTGAAATTATTATTTGTAACCAGTTTTGTAGCGACTCTTTCTTAGATTATGTTCTTTGAGTTATTTTTGTAGTGCCTGTTTTGCTCTGTTTTCTACCACTTCGACTGCTTACCATGCACCTTTTCTTAATAAAAACTGTTTCTTATTTATAATATTACCCAGTTTATGTAATTTCTAGCATGCGGGAGGAAGATGAAAGGCTGGGTATGTTTTTTTTCACATTGAGGAAGAAAACGAATGTCCTTTAATTTTGGATTGTGCCCAATGTTCTCTTTAATTTTTCCCCTCCATGTGCAGAATAAATTGTGTGTGTGTCCTGAGCCATGTGCGGACCACCAATAGAAACACATGCTGCTGGCTTCCACATGCTGTGGAAGTTCTGCTAATGAGCCGGGTGGCACCTGAATCTCTCTTGGGTGGCTGCCCAGGTGCTCAGCTTACAGCAATGTTTCTTAAACTTTTTAAGACCGAGGAACACCAAACAATAACTTTCTTTTATGAGGAACACAGGATTTTTTGTTAAGAAGAGAGCAAAAAAAAAGGGGTGTGTGTGGGGGAGGGGAGGTGAAACGTCAGGGGGGAAAGTTATTGAGGGGGGAAAAAAGGGTCGGGGGAAAGTTATTGAGCAAAAACAAAAAAAGTTGTCCCTTTAAGGGTGGCCATTTTGAATTCTGTTCTCCATCGCACACCTCTGACTGCCTCACAGCACACAGGTGTACAGTTTAAGAAACACTGGCTTACAGAGAACACTGGTTTTGTGCCCCAAAGTGGGGAAGGATGAACATTTGGTTGCTGGAGTAAATTCTCTTAAGCTGAGTTTTCCTCAAGCTCTTCTCAGCATCTGTTCTTCGTCAGCTGGGTTCAGCCCAACTTGGCTGGAAGGCTTGGCTCAGCAAAATGCGGATTAAAAGGGGGGACTGAGATTGACACAATTGCTTGACTCAATGGTGTCCTGTCACAATTGCTTCTAAACTTGTCCACCTGATTTCCCTTTCCTCCAGCACAGAATCTTAGATGTGGGTAATTAAATGGCATTTGTTCACCTAACTGGTCAGCTGGACACACAACTACCAGACCAAAGGAACTGGATCAGAGCAATCAGACTTAGAGGCTAGTTCTTAACATTTAGCCCAGGCGGAAGAATTCTCAAACAAACCAAAAGAGCACTTGGGTATCTCAGCCCACCTCTGCTGCAGCTTTTGAAAATTAAACAGCTCACACCCGAAAATATGTGCACACCCACTAATTTTCTGCTTAGCATGATCTGTCTGCTTCTGCAAATACCAAGAAATAGAAGAGTAGATCCTGTTTTGAAAGTAGACTTTTAAAATAATAAACCCTTGAAAATTAAAACTAACATAGAAACTCTTAACATGGTTATTTTACCACAGAGGATTCTGTATAGACCACTGTTTCTCAAGATGTTCTATGGGCCTTCACTTTTGTTTACCTAAGGGGCCATAGCCATGGATTAAAATGAAGATACCCAGGAAAATAGTTACCAGGTCTTTCATGTTTCTTCCAGAATATTTTAAAGGTAGGCGGAGGAAATCAGGAGGTTTTCCTTGTCCTGGTCTACACTAGGGCTCTGTCTACATTGGCACCCTTTTCCGGAAAAGGGATACTAATTAGACACTTCGGAATTGCAAATGCCTCGGGGATTTAAATTTTCCCCGCGGCATTTGCATGAACAAGGCTGCCGCTTTTTTCCGGCTCGGGGCTTGGCCGGAGAAGAGCGCCAGTCTAGACGGGATCTTTTGGAAAATAAAGCCTTTTCCGAAAGAGTTACAGACTGTCCTTGCTATAAGTCCAAGGTATGTTCCAAAAAACTTGGACTTATAGCAAAATATTTTAAAGTGGGGAACTTTTTTCGCATGGCTGACTTCCATTTGTGCAAATTGGGGTTGGTGGGTTTTTTTGTGCGACTTCAGAGTGGGGAATGAGAGGACTTATAATGCATCGGTTCTGTCCCTACAAGTACCAATGACTTTAGTGCAGAACCGACATATACCGGGGTAATTTACAGTGGGGACAGCCTGTAATATTAAACCTACCACTAGTTGGTGCTGTGCTACTAGTAATGCCTTTCTTCATGTGCAAAATAAAAACTGAAGTCCCTTGTGTTCATAACAATCTTGTGGCCTCACACCAGCTTGTGTCACAAATTTTGCCTCTCTAAAATCTCCCTAAATGTCACTAATGGTCACAGCACATTCAATTTTTTTTGAGAACTCCACGATTCTGTCTCCTCCTCCATTTTCAGCTGCTAAATTTAATTAAAAACATAGGAAAATATATTTGGAATATATCTCATAAGCAACAGTTGTAGTTGTCATGGGTTTGTATGACATGGGAATTGCCTCGGTTCTTCGCTATTGTGTACTGTTGTGCACTGTTAAACTAATGTTAAGTTTCACCCCCAAAGGGTGTTGCATATTAATAGTGAGTGAGGAGAACCCTATATCTGCAACATGATTTTTGTAAGTAGTAGTTTGAGATCCAAGGTACTGCGAGAAAAGTTTATTTAGTTTGTACTCACTAGATGTCGCTACTTCTGCTCCCCACTTAGTGATACTGAAGGTAAGTGAACTAAAGAGGAGATCATAAACCACTAGTCTACACTATGGGGGTGTCTCTACAGAGCACCCAAAACCTGAAATAAGATATGCAATTTGTGCTATGCAAATTGCGTAGCTTATTTCGAGTTTTTTTTAAATAACTTATTTTGTCATTGGGTGTTGTGTACACAGTGCCAAATTTCAAAATACAGTGCTATTTTGAGCCATCCCTTACTCCTCTTACAATGAGGTTTATAGGGCACTGAAATAGCGCATCTGCTATATTCCGAAATAGTGGCCACGTTCAAAAGACCTCATTTCGAGCTACCTTTGCTGTGTAGACATGCCGTGGAATAAGTCCAAATTAAGATAT